AATGAAATTGTATGTACAAATAAATCAAATACAAGTGAATCAAATCTAACTTCAAGTCTATTAAATTATCTAGACTTAAGAAAATTCACAGTTTAATTACATACGACATTTTGCCTTGGGGTAATGTCGCCGTTATTAATAGAAATCTTTGTCTCAAATTAATTTACGAGATAATATATAAGCTTCTTTAATAAGATTCCGGTTTTTTGTCATTCACGGGGTATAAAAGTCTAATGAAACAAAAACTTTAATACTAAAGGTTACGAAGCAGCTAGCTTCTGCATACTTAGATGACAAGAAAAGATGGTAGTGACCCGTTTAGCTCTTGCAGGTAGTTGTCGTATAGATAGACTATATTTATAGTCTAACTGCAACATGTGGTGCGTATTGCTTGGTTAGCATTTAAATTTACATTCTATTTTATATTGTATTATTTACTCACTTATATTCCGGAGACCGAACAATAAACATGTCTCTTTAAATCAACGTATTTCACTCTACCATCTACGTCCATCCTTTTTAATAATATAACATAGTCTCAATCTAAGATGTTTGAAATAAATATCATAAATTATTATTATTCAAAAGTACATTCTAAGTTGTATACGTACTGTTTTTGTTCTTTTTTGTATGTAAGCAATGACGTGTATTATCTATCTATCTATATACAAAGATGATTTGAATATAATCATGAGTACTTACCGCAAAATGGCATTGAAGGCAAATAAAAAATATTTGGTCTCATCCCAAATTTGAAGAAAATATTTCACCTCTCCCATTTAGATGGAGAGAGTTTCTCGTCCCGAAGATACGATTATCGAAAGAATATAAGAAACTTTCCTCGTCTAACCGTTCGCGGTTATCGCCCTTCCACGTGAGCGATAATCGCCTCGCTTTTGAACATTCAACGTCTCCGTGTAAACAGAACTTGAAAGTAAAAATCGTATTTCGAGTTTGTGTACCAGCCAGTCGCTACCATGAGTGCAGTGCGCGAGGATGTTTTGATTACCACTGCTTTTTTAAGACAAGAATTAATGAAACAAGAGCGAAAAAAATTTTGGGTTAAGAAATGTCATAAAATTAAAAAAAAAATGTATATTTCTATACAGTGCAATGAACTTAATATTACCAGCAGTTCCAAATTTGAATGATTTTTGCGTCATTTTGATATATTCATAGTCAATACCGCAGTAATCACTGCACCGCTTTTTCGTCACGAACTCGACGTTGTTACTTGGTTTACTTCATTGACTTACAAATAAATGGACGACGGGTCTAATACAAAAAACCACGAGAAAAATGTCCCAAGTCAACCTATTTAAACGTCACTACGTTGTCATTACATGTAAAGGAATATGAAAAAGCTAAAACGTTGAATTTAAATTGTAATGTCATCGCAGAACTGTCTAATTTTGGTTGCTTCGCTGTCAGTCGAACAAACGAAGACTAAAGCGTGAATGACGCTCTGTATACGATTTTAACGCCCTATAAGTTCGGACACTTTTTAGCGCGGACCCGACGTCCATATAATTGTAAGTCAATGGTTTACTTACAATATTTCGTAAGTAAAAAGTCAACATGGTTTTCACGGCAAGTAAGGCATTAATTCCAAATAAACCAAAAAAAAAATCTACATTACCGTTAGCATCCACAAAATACCAAATAACATTATTTTATTCGGAAAAACTGTACTTAGAATGAATGTGAGCAAAGGCGGCCTTATCACTGAAAGCGATATTTTCCAGATAACCTTTGAGGCACAGGAGAACTGAACTGACAGTTGTAATCAGTACAGCTGTCTTTTTCACAAATGCACACACACACACTCAACATAGTCCCGCACTAGGGAAACCCTGTGTCGCGGGTGCCATGGACACACACATAGACAACCACAAATTAGACCCAAACTCACGAGAGAAATAAACGTAGGCCGTGCTCATTTTCTCCCGATCCGGGTATCGAACCTAAGACCTCTGCGTGGCAGTCATGGTAACCTAATGTATGAAACATTAGTAAATGTCTCATACATTAGTAAATTAGAAAATATAAATATCCATAAATTTATATTGTACATAAAATTTTAAGAAATTATAGCAGACAACTAGTGATCTAGTTGTAGAGAATATGTGACAAGCAAATGACTACAAAATAATGTTGAGTGTGTGCGTTATTATTATTTATTATTATTATTTATTTAATTCCATGGAATGTCTAGTTCAATTACAAATAACATTTTTTGTTATGAGATTATTTGGCTCAAGGTGCACAAACGAAATTGAGGACTACGATTCAAATTCTACACCTAAATGACGACGTCGTATAGTTGACATTGGGTAGCTTAGGAAGCGAGCTTAAAATGCGGTCAGCGTTGTGTCTTCCTTAAACAATGATAAAAATATCTTGTATTTTATTCTAGATCGTCATACAAGTACTCGTCGACCAACTGTTTCTACCACTGTTAGAGCAGATAAACATAACACTGGAGTAGATGATGAAAAAACAACAAAAATATGGATAGGAAATTATATTCAGGTGTTATATTACGATACAGGCAATTCTATAGATTTGTCATGTTACTTGGATAAAAAGAATGCGAAGTTAGACCAACGCTTGGTATGGCTTCAAAGGAGGGGTAAGTAAAAATAAATCGCCGTTAATAATCCATACATTAAACGGAAAAAAGTGAAAATTCACGATGCCAACGCATGATACTGGACAATTTTATTGTCGCCAAGGACCTCGTATCTGATTTGGGATTTTTTCTTGCTTAACATACAGATTATCGGATTACGTTACAAACAGGTAGACGACAAAAGCGACGGGTTTCCTGGTCATTAGCGCCATGGGCGTTTAATAAGGAAGTTTGGATTTTTGCGATACACGCAAATTGAATGAGTAGTTCAAGAGATTTGGCTCATTTTACATGATTAATTGCAGCCGGCATCTTGAGTGAATTGCGAATTGTAACGGGTAGCCGAATTGTCGCCGAAATGTAGAGACCAATTTGAAATTGAAATAATATGTAAACACAGAACTTTGTACGTTTTATCTCAAATGTACTGAAAAACGTCGTGTGCTATACGGACGTCAAGATTAAATACAAACTCATGACACTAGGCTGCGTTTAAAGTTTTAACTCAGTTGCAATAACCTTTCGCCTTAATAGTGACACAAAAGCTTAGTTCAAATAATAAACATAAGTATCAACTGCTGGGATCTTATTCTACTTGGGGTGTCTCTCCAACTAGAGAAAGTTGGCAGTCAGCTCAAAAAATTTCTTCTTGTCTCTTAAGAGGCGGAAAAATTCATTTAGTGTCCCAGAGTTTGTCTATTTTCTGCTATTTAGTAACCAGGTCTTCTTTCCAATACAAAGTCTATTCCCAGCAACTTTGTCTGCAAATAAAAGTTGTATTGTTTAAAAAAAAAAGCTATTTCAATTCTAAGTTGTCAAGTTTTATTTATTAAGCCTCGTCTTCAGTGGGTCATCGTATCAGAGTGGGGTCAAATCAGGGTATAAAGTTCAAGTTCCGGGTAAAGTTTTAGTCCCGAAAATACGTCAATCTCAATAACCGTCAATTCCGAGTATTTTGTCAATTTCTATTAAATCCAAATCGTTCTAAATATCTTTTATAGTAGAACAAATAAAATTGTAAATATGACTGTACGTTTCAGTGTTCTTGAGAAATTTTATGTACGGGTTAATTTTGACATAATCATGTCATAAAGTACAAAGTACACAATATTTATACAGCATTAATTAAAGAGTGTCAGCGGCTAGCATGTAGTTATATTTTTTGGCCTTAATATTTAAAATATCTTTGCAGCGAATAATGGACTCTATACAATAAGTGATGTAAAAACTAAGGAAGTACGTCTACATTTAGATGCTGTATTCGCGGATAATGACACATCTTTGTTTTGTGCTCTTTTCAATGTTGGCTCGACATCTAGTAGTTATATTGCTATAAGTGACCCAATACGTATAATTCTCAATGGTAAGTATTGTACTGTACTTGACGAAATTCTGAATTCGCAACGTCTTTACTTCACAGGTAATAAAAAAAAACAATTGTAATCATATTGTAATCGTCAAATCGTCTAAACACTACTACTGATTCGTAAGGCAAACGCTCTTGAGAAGAATGTGCAAGAAACTCATAAGGTGTCTCTTTGTAAATATAAAATTGTTGGCATTTATCATTTAAAACATTTTTTTTATAACATCATCGCTAGAAACCGCCCAAAAGAGTTAAACGGATCACTACATGAATTTCATGCATCTAAGAGCGTAGCAGGTCTATACCTTTTGTATAGAGTGATTGTATCGCATTAGTTTTAAACCTTGAGAGTGGCACCTTTTGAGTAATAACGGGAACCTTACAACAGAAGCTATATGTCAACCTCGGTCTTGTTTCGGTGTCAACTGTACATTGCCGGAGGTTAGTAAACCCGTTGCTAAACAATTTCATGACACTAAATACTGTTCCCGAAGTTAAAGTCAAAGTCAAAGATCATTTATTCCATAGGTAAAATAAATGTACACTTGAAAACGTCACATTTAAGCTCCTGCTCGTTCATTACGCTGACTTCCCTGAGAAGAACGAGCAAGAAACTTTATGGAATACACTGTAAATCAAATTTGGAATTATAAGCCATCGAACTCAATAACAACTATCAAATGAGATAAATGAAATGTAATTCTATTTTAAGAGTAATGCCCCAGATTGCGTGTGCGACGTGCTTATAGAAAATGAAGTTGTACAGTATTGAAGTTCAGTTTTCGAGCACATGACTAATTCTGAAAATTTTATTTGAGACAGTGGCGTCAATGTCAGTGGATTGGTTAATATCCAAAAAAAGATTAAATTTTGTTTGTATCTGCTACTACTTTTTGGCCCATTGTTTTTTCGTTTACAGTAAACTTGGATATGAGTAGTATTTTTACGAAAATTTGGTTCAATTTTCATTTCAGAACCAAATTTGACCATATCGGTAAAGCCGAAGAAAGAAATGTACGATGTTAATGATGCTGTAACATTTACTTGCAAGGATCATAATATTCCCCCGTATGGTATGCTGCGTTGGCGGGGCAAGACAGGTAAGAAAAATCAAATAATAACTATTGACTATGTTCCAAAACCGACTCGTGCATGTTTTCAAGAAAATAACACCCGAATTTCACTACCATTGCCGTTAACCTCATGATTTTAGTATCAGCAGAGTCCCTTGTGAAAGAGTTCGGCCAGGGCAGTACTGCCACCCTACCTATTTCTGACGCCAAGCAGTAATGTCAGCATTACTGAGTTCCGGTTTGGAAGGGTGCTAGTGAAATTATAGGTACATGGGACTTGTCACCTTAATGTCTCAAGGTGATGGGTGCAGTGGCAGTGCCCCTAAGATTTATGCGCTTTAAAGCTCTGAGTGGCACTGCAACTGTTATCGTGGTGTGTCACTTGGTATTATAAAAAAAATAAGGTTAAGGTAAACTTTGACTGTAGCAGCGAACTGACGAGCGAGAACATTATAATGGACAAGTAATACTTGCTTACATTACGAATGCAATCGTCGACTTCCGAAAATCCCGAATAGCTCCGAAGTTTGACTTTCGGTACAGCATTGTACACACTGAAACATTTGCACTTATAACATCGAGTGATAAGATTTTGGTGAACGACATTCCGATGAGTATTTATCTTTTTTTTTAATGGATAATCCGATCAGATCTGTCTGATTGCTCAGTTTCTTGACAAACGACATCAATTTGTTAGATAGTTTAAAATGAAAAAGGAAATTGAAACTGACCCATCAGATTCGCATGCCACAAGTTATTTATATTTTCTTGTTTCAGTTAATTATGGTGTCACATTTAAAGAAAACAAGTTTTCTCTGGATAATACTTTGAAACTATACGTGAATGAGAGCCACCACGAAATGCACATCACTTGTGTAGTATACTACGCCACCAGGTCTACAATTGTGTCCAATGTTTTTATTATAATTGTTGATGATGTAACACTCCCTAAAGGCGAGTCATTTCCTTATTTTTCTGGTTTAAGCCATGTTACGTTAAGTGATTTGTTTTTAGCGGCAATAGCTACGTAATCTGCCTTCTGCTAGCCTTTTCTAAGTAGAGGGAATTTGCCAATCCACTTAATTCACAAGCAAGAGAGACAATTTTTCTTGCAATGTTCTCCTTCACTGTTAAAAACAACGAGAAGTAGATCTTTATCCGCATTATTAATGTTGTGAACACAACAGAATTTTCGTAAGTGTCGAAGCAGTAACAAAACGCTCGTGAATAGCAATAGCCGGAGGGTTCTATTATGCATCAATCATATTAAATGTTATCCCTACCGCATATTTAACGAATTTATGGTACAAACTCACTTTTGATATGTTCTTCCAAAAGATACCACCACTGCTTTTAACGATTAATGGAATTACTTCTGTAAAATATATTACCGTATTAAAATAGGTGCCTTGACGTCGAGTTTCGGACACCAAGTACCAAGTATATCACAGTAAGCAAGCTGAGAACTTTGAAGAAAATTTGTGGGATAAAGTTGAGTGATAGAGTGAAGAATACAATAATACGTGAAAGACGAGGGTTGAAAGAGGATGTAGTGACTAGAATAGAGAAAGAAATGTTGAGGTGGTTTGGGCATGCAGAGCGGATGGATGTAAGAAGAATTACCAAACAGATTTATGATGCGAATATGGATGGAAGCGTTTTAAGTTTTAAGTTTTAAAAGGCTGGGATCCGAAGTGACAAGATAAAAAAAAGTTGTATGAAAAGGGTTGGTCTCTGCTTACCCCTCCTGTGGGATAAGGGCGTGAGTTTATGTATATACAGTAAACAATAAATCGTCTTTGATTTAACGAGCTCGTCGAAACCTTCTACTACTTCTACTTGGGTCTTGTGACTACAAAATCCATGTGATGAGCTGTATAGATTAAAATGCAATGTAATTTCGCTGATTAGATATGGATTTCTTTGGGAAAGTCGTTCCGTATCACGCGCTATGAAATTTCATTATGTACTTCCTTATGTGTAATGTTCAAAGTAAGTATTCCGGGCAGTATCGACTTTGGTTTGTTCAAAGTTCGATTGTTGGCGTGTTTTGCATTACTCAAACTGGACTGTCACGACTTTGATGACTGTTTACTCTTAACATATCTTTGTTCTCCCACATGTAATAAAAACGAAAGCTAACAGAGTTTCTGGCGGAACGGTGCAGAAGCAAGATTCAACAGTAGGCTCCTTGTGACAGAGTTCGCCCTAAGGAGTACTGCTACCATATCTTGTTTCTGTCGCAATGCAGTAATTATATTTGGGCTCGTTGAATTGGTCTTCACGAGTTGTTAGCTTACAGTTTGGGGTACACGTTTTGTACTTTGGAGTTTTTTTCGAATAAATTACAATTTTGTTTACTACAGTAAAGTCGAATTCCGCAGTTCCGACATCTTCGTCCTCCATAAATCCTCCAAACGGATCTGTTACTAGCGGTCTGACAACAAAAGCACCTGTAAACGCGTCATCAGGTATTTATTATTTTTGCATATCTATCAACAGTTGAGAACACTTTATTGTCATAAAAAAGGTCAAATACTTTGCCTGAAATTTACAATTGTCTAGGGAAATACTGTCATTCCGCCGCCAAGCAGTAATGTGACCATTACTGTTCAGTTTTGAAGGTTAATGGCGTTGGTGTAACAACAGGCACTTGGAACTTACCAATTTTATGTCTCAGTGCGACGGATGCAGCGGCATTGCTCCTCAGGGGTTAGCGATTTAAACTTCTTAGTAGAACTCCAACTGTTTTGACTAGATGTGTCGCTTACTATCAAGCGCATGACATGATCGACCCGTTACTTGGTATTATAAAATATAACTAAAAAATAACAATTACGGATGACCCTGGCCCTTTAGTAAAATCAGGTGATAGTACTTCTTCTGAACTTCTAGTAAAAATTGAACCAACAGGTAAAAGTAATTTATTTTACTTTGTAATTTAATATAACACACTGCGTTCCAAAACTCGTTTAGTAAAGAATTTGGATATTTAGGGGCTGAAAAGAGCCTTGACAATATAGAGAATAGAAAAGCCCCCAAGTTACTAATTGGTGCATGTGTCAAAATTGTTGTAACTACTTCCGTCAGTAATCATCAATTAATTGAGTGTAATTAATTGTGAAAACTTAAAAAGAACGCTGTTGGCTGAGAGTCGATAGATGTTAAATTCCCATAACAAAGTTTTTATTGCATTTGAGTTTATTAAATGTCAGGATATCTTACTTCCATGATATTAATTTTTTTTTGTGAAATTACAACATTACTTTTTTATAATTATACAAATATCGAACACTAAGAAAAAAATCCTAAAATAAACGCCAAGCCAAAATGACACCGGGCGGACTATATCTGCTGTATCATACTGCGCTGTAGGTGCCACAAGATGGTCGTCGGCGCGACAGGCCGAGGCAGAGATGGCGGGTTGTCTTGGACGCGTTTATAAATGACTGGCCGGAGATGAAATGAGTTGAAAGTTCAAGCGAGATGCTCGTGATCAACAGTGGGACTCTAATGCAGCCTGGCAAAATGAAAATAAACATTTTTAAGGTCTTTGTTGATAGATAGATAGATAGATAGATAACACGTTTATTCAGCACAAACACAAACAGAAACAAAACATTTACAATCACTTTACAGAGTGTAACATAAAAGCACATAGAACAGTCATTATTAATTTTATACACATTTATATAAAACACATACTGCGAGAAAAACAAATACTGTGAGAAAAACAAACAAATACTATAAGAACTGATAAAATTTTAATGTACCTATGACTACAGTTTGTGCTGAAACGGTCCTGACTCAACATAAATACTCTAGACCGAGAGCAGTCAAACAGTGATAGTTTTCTGCCAGTACCATATGGTGAGTGATCGCAGCCTGGTAAGCTATGGCACCAAAGTCCATCACACGCAAATATACATACCTAACTCTAAATACTATACATATACACAATATATCAAGCAAAAGTGTAAGATGTAAAGCAAACTAATGTAAATAGTGTAAGTAATGAAGGTAAGCAATATAAATAATAATGTAAGTTTACAAACATTATATTAAATTATAACAATAGCCACCAAATATGAATATATATAGGTACGGAAATTTAGGTTCACAGGTATCAAACGCGTTGTTTAGGGAAATATCTATGTAGCGAGACACATTTGCTCTGACAACAGATGTTTTTTGTATTTACGCTTAAATCGTTTTTTATTATTGATGTCACGCAATGGAGGAGGAATATCATTCCAACACTTACTGGCGCGATACCTGAAACCGCCGCGAAAAGCAGTCGTTCTGTGTTTTGAGATGTTAACGTTGTGACCAATTAATTTTGTGGTATAGGTAATCAGGTTTCCGGGTTTTAACTATATCAAACATTAAGCAGGCCAAGTATAGCTTCTGACGGGCCTCCATTTTCAGAATGCCGAATTTGTTTAGATAGGGCGCGATATGTATGCGAGGAGGAATTCGAAAACAATAGCGAGCACAAGAATTTTGCACTCACTGGATCAGTTTTTTCGAGCTTTTTTTTGAGACAGCCACTATACACCGTGATGCAATAGTTCAGCCTAGACAATACCAGTGCCTCACAAAGCAGAACTCTCAGATCCTGGCTGATATAAGATCTAAAATTGTACAGAACTTTGAGGCGATAGAAACAAGAGCGTGAGACGTCCAATACACGATTTTCAAAGCGCAGCTCACTATCCATTTGCAACCCAAGATTCCTAGCTGACCTGACTCTTTCTATAGCCACACTTCCTATAACAATCTGTGGCTCAGCACTAATAATCTTTTGCACCTGACTACGGGAGCCAAGTATCAAATATTTTGATTTAATTGCATTTAAAACGAGGCCGTTAGAAGAACACCAAGCAGAAATACGACTCAGATAATCATTTAACCCATCAACCATAGCGTTCAAGTCATCAGCATTCCCTGAAATGTAAATTTGTAGATCGTCAGCATATAACTGAAACCGACAATTCAAAATACATTTATAAAAATCAGTGCTGTACAAAATGAAAAGCTAAGGTCCAGGAATGGAGCCTTGCGGGACGCCTTTGCGGGTTGTCTTAAGGCCTGACTCGACGTTGGTACCATCAGAGTTTTGTATGACTACCTTTTGATAACGTCCATTTAGGTAACTACTAAACCAAGATATGGAATTGTGGTCAAGACCATAGTAAGACGTTTTTGAAAGTAGCATTTGAATGTTAATAGAATCGAAAGCACGCGAGAAGTCCAGCAAACATAAAATCGAACCCCCACCAATGTCTTGAGAAGCGAGGATGTTATCAACGACATCAAGAAGAGCTGTTGTAGTGCTCCGCTGCTTGCGAAATCCAGATTGAAGTGACGGAAGGATTTCATATGCTTCACAACAGCGCATAAGTTGGCCATGGACTACCTTCTCTAAGATTTTCGATAAATAGGGTAAAATACTGATAGGTCTTTAACACTAGCGGGATTATTATTTTTAGGAATCGGGCGAATAATGGCAATTTGCCAAAGAGAAGGATATGTAGATGACTTGATAGATTTATTTATGATAGCTGTTATAAAATTTAAGGTTCTTGGTAGTGTCATTATTAACATAGCCATGTTTATTTCATCCACTCCAGTGGCATTTGACTTAATACTTAAAATATGCTTAGCTACTGCGTGTTCATGTACTGAGGTTAATTTAAAAGTTGCTGAACTATATCTATGGTATTCAAAATAAGTTAGGTCATGCATGCATGTACCGTTGTTATCAAGAATATCGTAAAAACTTCATTCATAGCATCAGGATCGCGCAAAAACGCAGGAAGTTCATGCTCATTTTTGAAAGGGACAACTGTATTCTTCAACCTTTTCCAAAGCAATTTGGGATTATTTAAATTTAAGTTAATTAGTGCGCCGACCCTAGATACAACAATATTGCTTGTTTTTTAGAATTCTTTTCAAAATTGTTTTCAGGTTCATCCTTACTTTGGATCGGTGTGGGTGTGGCTCTACTTATTGTATTGCTCATCATTATAGCCATTTCAATTTACATAATACAAAAGAGGCGCAATGTTACTGCGAAGGTTAACGATAAGCCCGATACTGATGTAAGTATTTAATGTAATTGTTGCAGTTAAGCAATATGTTGTGCTACTTTGAAAGGATGGTTAAGACAAGTCGCGACTAGTGAGACTAATACTTAAGTGTAAAAATTCCCCGACACATTGTTTGGTTGAGATTCCTATACTAACTGGAAAACAGCTAATGATATTTAAACAGCTGTGCAAATGTTCATCGAACATTGCTAAGAACATTAGTCCAGCCTTCAAATACCAAAAACTGCTTTGAAATCATTTCATCCGTTTGGGAGCTACGATAACACAGACAGACCACAAAAAAAGCACACCTGTATCTCGGACTGAAAGAAGAAGAAGGGTTAGCCCAATCACAGGCCAAGTGGCTTAAGATTTTATATGATTTGATAGACAGGCAATGACTAATATCCATCAGGTGGTCCGTTGGTATGTTTGCCAGTTTGTGTGTCATGAAAGTAATATATTTTTTTATTACAGCAGGAGCCAGTCTACAGCTACGCAACTGCACCGGTAATGAGCTGGGAAGAAGCGCGCGCGCGGGCTGCAAACAACCGTCCGCTGCCGCGATATCAGACCGTTGTGCCCAGTCTGCCGCCACGAAACGCCGATCAGGCTGAATACTCATATATCGACCCTAAGAATTTGAGAAAATGAACAATCCTTATAGAGGCGTAAAGTTATCGCAAATAGACGAAACTCAACAAAATAAAGAAAATAACATTACCTCTTTTTATAACCCCCTTCACCCGTATTAAATATAATAATAATAATAATAATAATAATAATAATAATAATCAGAAACAGTCATCTCGCACCTTATATATATGGACGATATTAAACTGTATGCACAATCAGAAAAAGATATGAAGAAATTAGTAGAAACCACAGCAGAGTTCAGTAAAGATATCAACATGCAATTTGGTCTAGATAAATGTAAAACACTTCACATCATACGGGGCAAGGTACGTCCTGGTAACTATGTAATTAATAATACAGATACAATAACAGCAATGGAACCGGCTGATTTATATAAATATTTAGGATATGCACAATTGAAGGGCCTCGATCACGTAAGAATCAAAGACACGCTTACTACAGAATATAAAAAAAGACTTAATGCCATATGTAAGACTCAACTGTCAGGTAAAAATCTCATCAAGGCCATAAATACCTATGCTATCCCCATATTAACCTACTCATTTGGTGTTATAAAATGGACAAAAACAGACACAGCACAACTTGAAAGAATTACACGCACTACACTTACGAAACATAACAACTTACACCCTAAATCAGCAATAGAAAGACTTACAATCAAAAGACAAGAAGGAGGGAGAGGCCTAATAGACATCCAACACCTTTGGCGAAAACAAGTGAGTCGTTTAAAAACATTCTTTTACTCAAAATCAGCTATTAGCAAAATACATAAAGCAATAGTTCTAAATGATCATAATTACACCCCGCTTAACTTAAGTGAACAAACAGACACAGAAAATGGTAACAACGACGACCCGCAAAAACAAAAGATTGAAGACTGGAAGAAAAAAGTATTGCATGGTAGACATCCTCATGATTTGGAACAAACACATATAAATTCAATAGCATCAAATAAATGGCTTAAAATAGGTAATTTATTCCCAGAAACTGAAGGATTCATGATTGCAATCCAAGACCAGATAATTAATACAAAAAATTACAGGAAATTTACAATAAAAGATTCATCAGTAATAAATGATAAATGTCGCAAATGTCGAATCCAACCAGAAACTATTCAACACATTACAGGAGCTTGCACAGCACTTGCTCAAACAGACTACACTCATAGACATAATCAAGTAGCAAACGTCATTCACCAGAATCTGGCTCTCAAATACGCACTCATACATGAATCAATCACTCCATACTACAAGTATACACCACAAACTATCCTAGAAAATACAACACACAAACTTTACTACGACCGCGCCATACTCACTGACAGAACTATTCATTTTAATAGACCTGACATAACTTTACAAGACAAATTAAATAAAATTACATACTTAATAGATATTGCAGTTCCTAACACACATAACATACAGAAGACCATAATTGAAAAAATTAGTAAATACGCAGAGCTCAAAGATGAATTAGTTGGAATTTGGCGACAGGAAAAAGTATATGTTATCCCAATTGTTCTCTCTACAACAGGCGTTATTCCAAACCATCTTCTTCATAGTCTTAAATTATTAGGTTTTAAAGAAAACCTCTACATAACATTACAAAAAGCCGTAATTTTGAATACTTGTAGGATTGTGAGAAAGTTCATGCAGATGGAAGAGAACGAAGTGGGTCCTTAGTACACTCTCACCATATACATACAAGCCCTACAGCATTTACTTGATTTCGGTCCGTAGATGCTGTTAAAACCAGTCAACAGGCTGAGAGGAAAAAACATCTACAATAATAATAATAACGCACACACGCACACACTCAACATAGCCCCGCACTAGGGAAACCCTGTGTCGCGGGTGCCATGGACACACACATAGACAACCACAAATTACACCCAAACTCACGAGAGAAATAATTGTAGGCCATACAACTATTTCTCCCGGCCCGGGAATCGAACCTGGGACCTCTGCGTGGCAGTCCGGCATTGTTACCGTTCGGCTACGGAGGCAGTTGATTTTATTTCATTAGGGAGGTTTTTTATTTGAAGGTAAACTTAATCGGAATTGTTGATCTATGTTTGATCGAGGTTTGTTCAGCTGTTTAAAGACCTTCAACTCTTTTTCCATTTAGTGTATGTAGCTCAGCGTGCGATGGAGCGAGTTAAGCTTGAGATTTCTGTGATGGACCGAATCCCTAAAGAGGTCATACGTCGGAGAACCAAAGTGACGGACATAGCTCGCAAAATCATTAAGCTTGCAGTAGGCATGTGTGCAGGAGGGTCGATCGCCGATGGAGCAGTCTGGTTCTGGTAAGGCGACCACGCCAAGGAAAACGTAGTCCAGGACGGACGGAGGATATGAAAAAGATGGCCGGCAGCGGCTGGTATACATAACTCGCTGTGACCTGTCGTGTCTAATTAAGTCCCATAACCGGTTTAGACATTTATTATTAAGATTAACTTTTGGTTTATTGTTGCTGTTATTTCGAACTTCTGCAACTAGCCTTGTGTACGCGTTGTTGAACTACTAACTAAATGGTCCCTGTAAATTTTACATTCTTTGTAACGAATGAGTTTAGTCGTTATTGCATTGGTTGTTGAAGTAAATAGATTGGAAATAACGTTGCAATGTGTTTCATTGTTTTGATTGTACAATTTTAAAGTTTTGGATAAAGATCACTATTGATTAAATTAAATAATGATTTGTGCATTTTCTTAATTTTAATGTTTTAGTTTTTGTAGTTAAATATTTGAAATTTCTTTTATCAAATTTTCAAAATTTATACCAACATGTTTTTAAGGTTTTCGTTTGTAACTAACACCATCATCCTATGGGCCTGTTTATTATTATTATTTCCTTCGTCGTGGTGCTTTTTTAAAGGCGAAATTTGTTAAAGGCGATATGTAACAGAAGGGGTAATGTTTTTAAATTTGTTACGTAATGACGAATTCATCAGGTTTTATAATAAGAGGTCGGAACAGACGGAGTACATGCAAATTGTGATTGGGCAAAAAGAACAAAAAACCCAACCAAATACAAATGAGAGACCGAACATAATACAGAATATTACCAAGTTATTAATGAAAATAAAAATAATTGTTAAGAGGGTGTCCAACCCGCTAAACAACGGGCACGGCATGCGGAGGCGCAGGGCAGGGAAGCTCGGCGATATATATAAATATAATTTTCTCTTTGGCCTTAGAATACAGTAAATACAGCTAAAAAGTGTTTGTAAACACCAACAAACTGAAGACTCTAGGCTGTTATAAGGAAAAATTCAAATATGCTTAATTACTAATTTACCACGTCGATAGTTTACTTACACAATCCACAGAGTAACCATTTAAATGATGTTGTTGAATATGACTTTTCACCCGACATCAGAGGACAATTCGATTGTATTTATTTTGGGTGAATATTACGCCACTACTGCGACTTTGTGAACCGATTTCGAGGATTTTTTTTTTCCTAGAAATTGGTAGTGATCCCATTTAAATTTGAGGGTCGCAAATAAAGGGACGAATCCAGTTTATAGGATTTCACCCACTTTCCGTTAATCGATTTCAACGAAACTTGACAAATAGATGTAATTTCACGACTTTTGAAGTTGGTATTTTATAATAATAATAAGCATTTATTTCGGACCTGAATCCATATCCGCTCACGCGATGCGCTTCTCCTACCGCAAAATGGCGGCTATTTGGTTTCACAAATTAGAAAATGATTCAGTTTAAATACAAGTATTTACAAATAAAAATTATTATTCTGCATTGCTAAATAAATACCCTCCGTACTACCAACAAAAACATCTCCAATAAATACAGTAATACACCGTAAATCCTGCACTTAAAAAGCACTAATGAAATTTTTGGTGTACTTGGATAAATATGATAATATTCCGTTTGAGTGGTTCTAACGTTTACCATGAAATTACTCCTTAAAGTATAGTTTATAAACATTTATATTCAGGGTAAACTTAAAAAACGTTACTTACGGTATGTTTTCAATAAATAGACACCGAAATCACCAGCCCAAACAATAACACACACGATTGTCGTGACGTATTTTTGAAGTTGTTTATTTTTTTTAAATGACAGACCCAGGCATTAAAATCTTTAGGGTTTGCTCTAGAGTAGTTACCGAAATAGCAATTAATATTAGTTCTTTTACCTGTTCTAACTTCGATATTCGATAAATCGGTATAAAATCATCACCGGCACCTCTAGGTGTGGTATGCGTCTACGGCTGCATCGCGTGAGCGGATAAATAATTAGTAACAGACATAAAAACTATGTTTGTAAGTACATTAACTACTGTATGTTATCTATTTATATTTACATTTATTGGGCAGCCCAATTAGAGGGCACCACATGCAGCGTGTTGAAGCGTTCATTGACAACTCTGTCCGCTACTGGCTCAGGAGAGTGTTGGTGCTAACGCGCCGCTATAAGGAGGCTTATCGCTTTCTCATTATGGATTGGAAACTAACCGCACGTGCTTCTGCAAACATTATTGATGCCCTGCAGTAGCGCGGTAGCCCCAACAGCATCCTGAATGCATTGTTATATTGCACACGTAGGGCGCCGTATGCTTTTTGAATAAATGCCATCCACAGAGTGCAGGTGTAAAACGATTGGCATTTGAACAGGTGACCTTCACTTCTACTATACACCTCGCAAATCTACGGATCAATATATTACTCCTTACAGCCAGCGTCCTACGTTCTCTCTCTATATTCCTGTTATCTTTTAACGACTCGGTAACCCAGTGCCCCCGAGTGTGACTAGCTGTACAGAACGATGCTGGTTAGCACCTGCCTTAAACACCAGCATTTCACTTTTGTTTTCATTATACTTGAGGCCATGGGCCTCCGCATATCGCTCACATATTTTTAAAAGTTTTCCAAGGGCACTGATCGAAGGGCTCAGCAGTACATGTGATCGGCATAACTAATGTTATTAACATATTTACCATCAATTGAACACCCCACCATGGCACTACTAAGCTCCTCGATCAGGCCGTTCACATAAAGGTTGAATAACTTTGGAGAGGTCCCCCCACTTGCCTCACCCCGCACTCAAGCAGGTTCATT